GCAATAAAAATGCACAATTTACTGCCAGTCAGTCGGGAGGCCTCAGCTTTATGGTTTAGTCCATAAAGCATCAGTTAGTCCGTCCGTCCAGCCTATCGTTATGCTGCACTGCACCTGTACATCATGGTCATCATAGAGATGCAGATGGAAATGGAAATGAAAATGGAGCTGGCACTCCACTCCGGAGTTCGGAGTAGGTAGGTAGGTTCCAGTTGATTCGGCTTGATTTGAATGTCCGGGTAATTGTTTATCGGACGAGTTCACTTGATGTGTTACTGTTTTTTTTGTTGTTTTTTGCTGCCCATTTATTATTGAGTTTTGGGTTTGTTCGGCTCATTATGCTTGCTGCTCGACTGCATCGCATTGCATTGCACTGGCTGCGTTGCTGCTTCCTTTTGTTTCATTTAAAACGTGTCCCGTTCGCTTCGTGCAACCGCAAAACTGAAAAATAAAGACCGAGCTGAACTGAGCTACAAAAAAAAGCCTAATGAAAATCCAACTGAAGCACGAAAATTGTGTGCGGTTTTCTTCTATTGTTGTTGCCACTTTTGTTATGATTGTCTCTCCCTCCCATTTTTGATTTACCTAAAAACGTTGATTAGTCGAATCCATTATAATTGCCGCTTCGGACAAAGCCAAATCAAACAGAAAGCACAATGGAACAGAAACGGCGGAGAAATGGGGAATACCTATGTATACGTATGCCGAAGAATCTACTTTCCCCGCGGATCAAAAGGAAGGGGGAGGAGCTGGAGCTGCACTCTTCAGGGGGAGGGAGAGGTGGCCACTGGCCACTGGCGGTGGAGATCACTCAAGCGCGGTATGTTTACCGTTGCTTTCCACTCAAAAGCTTTTCGAATCCAATCAGCTGTGGCCGGCGCAAAAATATATATCTCTATCAATCGAATCGGAGTTGTCAGGCATTTCAATCCGCCGAGGTGATTGCAGGAATGTTAATCAATGGAATCCATTTAAGCCATAAAAGGAAGATCTTATTTCATTTGAGTATAAAATAAAGCCAGTTTACTATCCTTAAATCTTTATTTTATTAACTATCGAATCTATTTATTTCCATTCCAAACCATCTGAGAATCTCCTGCTGTGACTCCCAATTAAAGACGACTTCCTCTGCCCATGATTCAACTACAATTTGAGTGTCAGGTCCACGCACTTTTTCCCATTTCCCTCTCTCAATCTCAATCAAAGCAATAGCATTTAAATAGATATGTTTTCCTGGTCAGTCACGGTCGTGAAAAGTGTCGGATGACAGCGGGTGAGGATGAGGATTGGATTGGCTTCTCCACCAAAGATGATGAGCAGGAAGACACAAGAGGGCACCAAATCAAACCGCAGCGGGTGGTGTTTTTTTTATGTATTTTTTGTTTTGGGAGGTGTGATTAATGGACGGAGCGGGATTTGATGAAAAATTCATAATTGGACACTAGGAGTTGTTGTTGCTGCTGCTGTTGCATGGAACTGCAAAACCATAGATTGTCAATTATCGATAGTGTTGGCCTGAGCCCGATGAATAATTATCGATTAGCCGTGTGCAACCGCACAGTTTCAAAGGAAAGTGCTGTGCTGCTGCTGCTGGTCGAGAGGAAAAGCTAGCTGATGGGGCTTGGAAAAGCCGCATGTAGATGCCGATAGTGATGCTGGCATTTTTATTATTATTATGTATATGCGTACGTAAGCTGGGATTGGCTCCGTAAATTGTGCATTTCAAAGCCAGAGAGCAGCAGCTAAAGCCAAAGTCAAACCATTCCATACCAGAATTGCTGACACACTCATCGCAGCGAAAGTTTTGCAGCAAATATGTAATTAATAAATTTGTATTGATTAATTTGCGGCTTTGTGGAAAGCGAAAGGACTTTCTAATATATTCAGATTCAGACAGAGCCTGAGCAGCTCCTCCCGACGAGAGGACAAACACTCCACCTCCAATCGAATTGCTACCCGATCGATGGGAATTGAATACTCTAAACAGCCTCATTCATCGTGTCAGGCACTCAAAGGTACTGTATCCATCAAAAACCATGTATTTAGTATATATTTTTTGAGGTTACCAGGGGAACATCCACTGGGGGGCCCCCAAAAAGTTTTTCCCCACTTTTCCTGCCCGATTTCCGTGTCAACAGGAATTACATTGACGCAGGCATTACACAGAAATGTGTTTGATTTCCTTTTCGGTTCTGCTCAGCTCTGTCAATAGGTCATGAAGATAGCGGGGAGGTGTTGGTGGTGCAGATTTCTGTTGATTATTCCTCATAACGACTTCGGCTCGTTTTCCGCATGTTCTGCAATCATTTACATAAATGTTGACTTGGCAACGCCAAAAAAAACATTCCCATCCAGCGCTATACATATATATTATATATGGTTATAAATATATGGAAATTCTTGATTTGTTTGCCGACTTTCCTTGCAGAATGAGGTTAACTTCAGGTTGTAAACAGTAGATATGCGGGCATTGTGCAAAGGAATTCAAGCGTATAATGATCGTCAGATGGATAGACAATGCCATAAAACAAAATGAATTGTCATGATTTCCGCCGCTTATACAACGCAACAAAGAGCGACAATTCAATCCGATATCTTGGCGCGTCGCACCTTTGAGATTTAATTTGATTGTTTACAATAATAAGTCACGGCTTTGCAGAAGAAAAGAAGAAAGGGGGACAGACAAAACGTTCGTTGCATCGAAATGCAGAGAAAAAGTATATTAATCATTTTCCTTCAGCCTCTACCTCTGCCTCAGCCTCTGGCGGGAAAGTCCAAGGCGGTATGTTACACAATCGCAATCAATGACAATGATTAACACATTTTCCACACTTGGCCCCAGCAGCAGCAGCAGCCACCCATCGATGGACCATAAAATCCAGCAAATTGTTTATAATGCACATGGCACACATAAGGAAAATTGTTTCTATTTGGTTTCTGCTGCGACCAAAACTAATCTCCGATCCCAAATGCCCGCGGAGAGAAGTGAGCAGGGGTTCAATGTCCGCCACGGACCAGCGGACAACGGACAAACGGGCGGTTAAACGGACGGACGGGACGGACAGACAGACGGACAGTCGAGCGGACAGGGAAGCGGACTTGGACTTGGAAGCCAACTATAACTCCCAGGCAAAGTTGGGACAGGTACGAGAGCGTAAGAGTGGTAAACGGAACAGACATAAGCAAAAAGCATTTCGGTAACGATTTTTGTTTCCCCACTCGAAAGGCGAAAAATGGGTGGTGCTGGGCAGCAGGGGCTTGGTCAAAGAATTGCATGCAAAAACAAAAGCCGAAACTTACTGAAAAAGAAAGGCGGGCAAAAGCTGGCAAAAGTCGATGGGGGAATACCCTGGGACTAGCGGTGATAAACGGTAATAAGATAATGATTTTTTTTTTTAGTCGTAATAAGTCGTGATTGTTCAATAATAAACATTTTATTTTATTTCGTATCATTTGGTTAATCGGTGTATCTAATCCGTTTTAGCGTTTAACAGCATGAATGATTACCAAAAAATGAGTTCGTAAACTAACTCAAATTGATTTTACGTTTTCTTTTGGCCTATTATAGGCTGTAGTAAAGTTTAGAATGTCGTAAAATAATAAACTTCCCTGAACAAAAATTGTTTATGGCTCAATAGTGCAATCAATTAGATTTATCCCACCATTTATGTCACGTCAAAATGAACATTTCGTAAACACCTTCTAGTAAATGCAAATTGGCTTTTGTTTTTATGGCTTTAAAAGAGATTGTAATACCTTCGAAGAATGGAAGGGTATGTACCTATATATTCCCAAAGAACGCCGGTCCCTTTGACTTTCGTGTGGTGGCATCGAGTGGACGACTGTGAAGGTGGGATATGTGGGGGGTGTTGGGGGTGGTGCTTTGTGCGGTGGTTTGCCTTAGGGCAGTTGGCCGTTGGCAAAGGAAAATCAATGAGACATCCAAAGACATGCCACCACCAACACCGCCGGCTTGGGTGGTTCACTGGCTAGGTGGTTAAGTTAGGTGGTTGGGTGCCCCGATGGTTTCGGTTTTGTGGGAAGTAGGCGCTTGCAAAAGTGCTGCTCCCCAGATTACACATACGCCCCGTGCACACGAGACTGTATGGGTAGGTAGTATTAGTTAGTCAGTCAGTCAGGCGGCGAGGTGAATGAACGCTAAATTAAACTACACACATAACCAAATGAATATGCAGTGTTTGTTTGTGCGGCCTGGCAGCTCTGGCGCTCAGACAATGGGATAAAGATGAAGATGAAAATGAAGATGTTGATGCAGATCACGATGAGATGAGGCTGCCTTCCGAAATGTTTGCCAATCAAAGTTCACTCGAGCGGTGGCAAACAATAACAAAGTATGCAATCGGCACGTAACAGTTGATAAACTTCAGGGAAAATGAGTCGGTCGTCGGATAACCTCGATATAATTCATTCAAGTTGAGTAATATTTAAAACGAGAACGTTGTATATGATTACACATCATAATCTTAAAAATAGGAAGGAATGCTAAAACAAAACAAAATATTTGCTATAGGGCCTAATAAAATACTTCAATTGATAACGAAATAATGTGTAATTCTTATTTGTTGATGACAACTCGTCATTTTCGTAATTAGTAAGAATCATTTTGGACAAACATTGATAATATAACAATAGCTATTTGTTAAATTAAGCAACAACATGTTTCACCCTTGATTCATTTTCCTTGTGCGTCATGGTAATTTAAACCCTTTTAAGTCTCAGGAGATACTTTTTTAACAAAGGAACATATTAACAAAGACCATTTTTCAAGTGATTTACAGTCTTTTGTTGGTAAGGCGATTAACTTTTTTTTTACAAAAACAGATTGGTATAATTTCCTTTGTTAGGTATCCTTTTTGTAAGCGTTTTATTAAAATAACTAACAAAGTAAAATTTATTGACACTGTTTTTCGACATGCAAATTCTTTGTTCTCTGTTTTTTTTTTGTAAAAGTTCATAATTATCCTGGCTCATTTTCTTACCTCTTTTTGGCTTTGCCAACATTGTAAAGCTCAACGTGTTTGAAAGCAGCGTAGGCGGCCATTTCTGTTTGTTTGTTGGTTTGTTTGCGAAAGGATAATCTCTCTGTTGGATGGATGCAATTGCTTTACTTTTCGCACTGGAAAAATCTAAGCGCACGCGGAAAAGGGGGAAAAGCGGAGATTAGGCACGTGGGGGGAAATGTTGCAGGATGGACGATGACTCATAGTTGGGGATGCTGCTGCTGCTGCATGTGCGTAAAATCAATAGACCCTCAACTTTGAGAGAATGCAAGGAGCAGCATCTCTCTCTCGAGAGAGAGAGCAAATGAGAGGGATGCAGGAAAAGCGGACGGAAAACGGAGAAAATTCCTCTAGTTAGGTAAGTCAGGATTTCATCTCAATCCTTTGCCTTTTCCTGCAACATTTCGCCTCCAACCAAGAGCCGAACTCCCAAAATTCCCAAAACACTTCACTCACAAAGAAAGCTAGAAAACTTTTGATTTGCACTCGCGATGATTTTTTTTCGTTTCGAAGGATATATTGGCTGTTCAGCAATATATGGATGTGTGTACTCTGAGTGTGCGACCGCTGGAGATGTGCACGTTTCGATAAATGTCTGGCGAATAAAGTGCAGTGGGAAAAGTGAAAAGCATTTTATACCACGGCAGCGCGAGAAGTTTTATCGATCCAAAAACAACGACCGAAACCCAACTCACTGAGAGCGCAAAAGCTGGGGGAGCAGAGAGCAGGAGAGCGGGAGAGCGAGCGCCAGCCATGTGGCGCATCAAAACAAAAACAAACTACAGCTGATGCTGATTGGAGTTGGAGCCCTCTCTCTTTTGGGGCTCCCATTCAGTCGCTCTCCTCTCTCTGTGTTACTCTAGCTCCACGCAACAGAACTCAACTCGTGGTGAGTTCAACTCACTCCGCTTGTAGGTCAGAAAAAAGTTTAAAGTACGCAAAGAACTCAAGCGAAAATAAAACATATACTTAAGCCGCTCTTAAAACACTTGCGGGATTAACATTCTGCATTTATTTTTTATTTTTATGTGCGCCAGCGAGAAGTGTGCGCAGATATGCTTCAGTTATGCCGTGCCATTGCAAAAAGCGCTAGAAAAGCGAAAAAATAGTTCAGGTCTAGTGCACTTCAGGGTTCCTATGCAATTGTTTCTTTCTTCAGCTTCTTCTTCTCGTTTCTTTAGATGGTTCTGCTTCTTCTTCTGCAGTTTTTGCATCTGGTTTCTTTTAAGAGAAAAAAAACACAGGTGGATTCGGATTTTTAGATCAAATAATACCCTATATTTGCTTGAATTTTGATTTATTTTGTATGAAAAAATATCTTAACTTTCATTAGGACCAGGAAAACCAACTAATTGAACTAACTTTCGGAACTCGCTATTAAAAATATTTAAATTATATTGATGTTGTAAAATTCTTTATTAATACCACTTTAAGTTTTACTATGTTACGCCCATTGTTTCTTAAAAAAATATTTTATTCATTAGGTTTAGGTTTAATAATCCTTAAAAATGCAAAGAATTCTATATTCAACTTGGACCTTGTTCCTACCCTCTCATCATTTTCAATTACAGGGTGTGTGAACACCAAAAAAAAAGTGCAGTAGCAAACCCACAAACATGTTTTCCAACCAAGATGAAGCTGCTGCCAACCCAGACATCGGGTCTCGTGTCTTCGAGGAGCTGAGGAACATTGCCTTTGCCGGACATAAATCACTTTCATCATCACCGAACGTTCAGTTCAGTTGGGGCCAAAACAGCAAACTCTAATTTCAAGTGTCTTGCCACTAATGAGGCCGCCCCTTTTGCCGCTTTTCCTGTATTTTCAGCACTTGCTGCTGTGCTGCTGCTGCTGCGGCAGCAAGAATTTAAATGCAAAATGTATTTGCATACTTCGTTTTCTTGGAAAACATTTGGCACAGATTTGCACACAGAACAGGAAGCGCAGCAAGCCGGCGACTAAGAGGATCGGGCCATGGAGCCATGGAGCCAAAGAGTCGTCAGTCGTCGGAGGGGAAGTTGGGTCAAAACAGTGGTTATTTTTAGCTCTGCGAAGACACTTTTGTTTAGCCGAGCCAAAAGTTGACTGGCCGTCGTCGCTGCAGCTTTGCTATTTTACTATCGGTGGTGGGTCGTGGGACTTTCGACCCACTGAGCGGTGCACGGGTAGGATGGGTGGTGGGGCGGGCACAGAGTGGTGCATGCGGCAACCTGACACCACCTTGCCACTTGCCCCCTTTTTCCCTGTCGCCGTGGTGTGTGTAAGTAAAAGCCTAGGCGCAGTGCACTTGCACCAGAGGTGACAGTTCAGCTGTTTTCCCATGAAGTTAAATATTTTTATTATTTACAAGTAGAAATAACTATTTTAAAATTAATTTTAGATATTAATATCATTTTACTACGGGTTTCCCATTAAAGATAATGGTATGGAAAACCCAAAAACCAAAAAATTTTAGTGGTAGTGGCTATGGTTAAATGGTAAATAAAAGTATTTTAATAAAAAGTTCTAATAAGCTCCATTATGAAACGTTTTCCAAGTCGAAAGCAAGTATTTAAAGTAATATTATGTTCTGTAGAACAAACATTTAAAATACCTAGGTATTATCCTAACTGTCTTCGTAACTTCTCTTCCTTCTTCAAATCACTTATATTTCCCTTGAGACATTGGCAGATCTGACTTGCCCTGGGATGGAGCAAAAAGGGGAGGGGGGGATGCTCGAAATGGGGACTGTGGGGCACAAGCCCACTCCATGCGGTTAAAAATAGGAGAGCTCCATCTCCACATCTCCTCCTCCTCCTGACACTCCGCCCAGCTCTTGCTTAATAGTTAAGTGTCGCCTGATATTTCCCCAGGAGAAGTGCAATGGAACTCACTCGAGCACACAGATATGCACATACACACACACAGTCGCCACTCGGCGCACTCACATTATTTCGAGTACAGTGGTCGCTGGCAAATTAAGAGCCCCTGGGCCTTTTATGGTAATAAATTTCCGGTTTTTTAAAAATATGGCTTTTACCTTTTTGGCGCTTTTAGACACTAAATACATTTAATCACATTTAAGCGGGCTTTCTCTATGGCACATTAAAATATATGGGCTTTTAGTTGTGGCCTGTTTTACCTTAGGAAATTTACTTTATTTTATGTTATACCCCTATATACCCCTTATATCCAGAGAAGAGGAATTTGTAAAATGGTTTTGAATTTTTGGTTAGATATTAAGTTCTAATATTGGTTTCTTTTAATAAAATAGATTTTGCAATCGTTTAATATTAATAAATATTTATTTAATGTGTGGAATATTTTGAGTTATTTAAGGATATATTTTTTGGATAACCACTGTGATTGCGTGTGTGTGTCTAATCTCATCGAAGACGTCTGCAGTCCCCTTCCCTTTCCCCAACCTCCGCCCACGCCCCTTTCTTTCGACTCTATGTGGTGCCCGCTGTCATGTGGACATGGAGGTAGTTAAAACATCATAAGGCATACAAGTAGGGATGGATTGCAATTGCAAGTACAAGTATGAGTACGAGTATCTAAAACGTGGGCAGTGGCAGCGGTAACTGACAATTCAAGTGACGCAGCGGCAAGCCCTGATGATTATAAACCAGGCATCGACACTTCGCCTTTGCCAAGCAGACATTTCTTTGTCGCATACTGCGAATATTTAAGCCAATAAATAATTTCACTGCACAAAGTGAAATTTCCGGCTGCCGAAGCCCTGCATAATTACCATGATGGATATTTTCTTCGCGTACGTGTCCAACATATGGAAATTTAGCTATATCTATAGTATTTGTGACATTCGGAAATGCATTTTCCAAGCCATATTTATGGCCTTAACTTTCGTTAATTAAAAAAACTTTACACTCACTTTTATTACTCACGCTCTTTTCATTTTTTTTGGCGCTGCAAGCGAAGCTACCGGGCTACAGGTGGAACAATTGAGAGCCTTTAACGATCGTGTGAAGAAAAGCTCAAGGCTTTTTCAAATGGATTTGCAGCTAGGATCCAGGAAGCAAATATATATTTTATCTTCTCATTTGCAGTAAAACTTTTAATTTAAGATTACAACTATAAGGGTTTCTAGATGCAACCGATCAACGACCCCAGAGATCTCTCAGTGCAAACAGATTTCTTTCATCTTTCACTTACACTCAACGTATCTTTAGCCAAATTGCGGATGGAAACAACAAAGGAGCACTGCCCCTGTGTACCTACATTTTTCACATATGAATAGTATTTAGTTTTCTCTGCGGGCCATTGACTGACCACCGAAAAGTCTTAAAAGCGGAGATTAAGTGGAGCAATTAGGAAAACGTGCACTGCAAACAACCGAAACCAGCGCAAACAAAAAAAAAAGAGGAGACGGGGAAACAGTGAGCTGAAAGCCATCAAAAAGCGACTTTCGGTCAGAAAGGTGAGCGGTTACCGGTGGGCTATCCATCCGTTGCTCTCTGCTCTGGAAACTTGGCCATGCCCCATCCAGCGTTTAACGTTTAACATTCAAAATTCCCCTTGCCACATGCCACGTTTAGTTCGGGCTAACAACTCACTTGCTGCTGTTGCTTCTCTTGCTGCTGGGAAATGTCTTGGAAATTAATCTCTTTTTTGGCTTGGCCAGTTTATCATATTATTAAGGCATTAGCGGCCGCCTCGGGGCCCCGGCTGCAAATCGCTGAATCGGGGAAATTATCAAGGGAAATGCATCATCGTCGGCCGAGGTAAATCTTTTAATCAATCTCCATTTCCCCTGGCGCCCTGGGAAACCGTTATTTCCCCCATTTCATCGCAGTAGAACGAATGAATGCAATGGATATGGCCAACAACACTTTCGCTTTTCGCTTTTAAATGCCTTTCGTAGGTCCAAAGACCCACATATATGGAGGGTTTAAATTGGAGTTTGGCCCAAACCCCGAACCCCAAACCCCGATTCCAAATTGTCTTTTAATGATGGCCAACAATAGCGCAACTTCCTTGAGTGCATTGTGTGTATACGCACTCGCAAACACTCACCTATTAAAGGTACTAAGGTAACAATTACCAGAGCAGCACAAAAGCTAAGCAAAGCTGGCGTTAAATTAATGCTTTAATTTCTTTTGACTTTTAACTTTTCAACTCTTTTCGGCTTCGTTTCTTCTAGAGAAACTTTTTAAATACACTTGGAAAAAAGTATCAAAGGGATATTACTTTTTTACTCAATAAATATTGAACTTAGGTGGTGAAACTCCTCTAATTTGAATTCTCTATAAATTATAAAACTAAGTTTTTTGAAGTTAGATGATGGTTTGAGTAATGAGAGTTCGACTGTATATGAAAATACCAAAGTAAAAAAATTTATACCTCATCATTGAAAAACCAAGCTCATCAATTTATAACTCGGAAATATTCAATAAATAACTAATTTTAAAGATATTTATTTCGCTGTGTACCCTACCCCAACTGGAAACTCCCCATTTTAAAAATGCGTGAGGTCCAATTGAAAACTTTTGTTTGTACACAGCCAAAAAAAGTGAAAAAACCGCCTTGAAGTGAGCGCATCGAGCAGGAAATGTTGCTAAATTTGTTGGACAGCGCCAATATGCAACATCTCCAGATGCATCTGTCTGCATCG